GTGAGCATTGTGGTTGCTGGAGCTTAAACCGAGAAGACTTTGGACGTGGCCGAGGTAGAGGTCGGGGGTCCGGGAAAGGTCAGGATGATGGTCGGTTTAAGCGGGATAAGAGTCACGTTAGGTGCTTCAAGTGCAATAAGTTAGGGCATTTTTTGAACGAATGTCCAAAATGGGATCAAAAGGAACAGATTGCAAACTTGATTGAAGATGATGAACCAACGTTGTTGTGAAGATCAGTGTGAACAAACAACGATTAAGGGCGTGATTGTTAGATTTAATCGGGTTTGTTCACATATAACCGAATGGGTAATGAGTCGATGTTTGGGTCAGTTAGTATAGAGTCAATTAGTGTGGTGTCGTTTAGTGTGTTTTACATATTTAATTAATTTAAATAAAAAACAGTAGAGCAGTTTCTAAAAGGCAGTTATGGGTAGTTTCCATTGTTAATAGGTGTGTTGGTTTGTAATAGTTGTGTTGGTTAGTAAAAGTCATGTTGGTCTGTTCTCTATATATACTTAGAGAACAAAAAACCTGTACAGTTTTTACATCAATAAAAATTCTATTCTGCATACCAATTTGTTCTTCCTATCAGTTTTCTACATGTACTTTATATTTTTTCTACTCTCTATACTTAAGGCGTAAGCGTAACTAGTACAGAATAATAAGAACAAGAACCTTAATGGCCTAATTAAAAAGGAAAGAATGTCAGAAAGAAAGGCAAGATGCAGTATACACAGAAGCCGGAAAACCATGCAAGAAAAAAGGACACAACAAAGTAACCAGCCAAGAACTGGAAAGGCTTGGGGTGAAGATGTATTCAATCTGACCCTTGTAAAGAACCCTTATATTTGGCTACTTACAGTACCTAGCAAGTTACTCCAGCAGTGAACCAAGAGCGACGTCGAGTTGAATAAGTCTTATTCAAGTACTACTAGGATATTAGATAGTTTTGTAGGTTGAACATTATAGATAATTATTTGGACTAATAAGTATTCTTTGTTATTGTATTTAATTAGGACTTGGGTATTGTTCTCATCATCTTATTTCTTTTTTTATTAATTGTCCCTTATTTTGATAACACGCCAAAAACATTAGACACGGACAAGACCGCAGAGATTCAAGTAAGACCCAATGTTATTTTATAAGAAATGTACCTAGATAGGAGTAAAATGTCATCAAAATACCAAAATAGGAGTGCCATTGTTTTTATCCCCTGAATAGAAGTTTGGCAGAGTAAATAGTGGCATTGTGATGACAATATAGCAGTATGAATGGTGACAATGATGGTGACAGTCACTAAAAGAGTGCTACTCCTATTCTGGTATTTTCCTTGTCTTTTATTTCTATTTAGGGAGTTCTCCCTTATTTTACTCCATACAAAAGAAAATGAATCAAGCTTAGACACAATCAGATCAAACTAGATCTGGAAGATTGATTGACTAGAAACATTTGGATATCTTAAAAAGCTCAGATGAGAAGCATTCAAGTAACAGGAAGAGTGTGTATAAGAGGTTGATTATGTCATATAATGGAGTAGAATCATAAAATTTAATAGAGAAGTAAAAAAAGATACTCTGTAAATTAAAAGAGATAGGAGTCTGGGTCTCAATAAAACCCAACCCTGTGAAGTTCGGCAACTCAACAAACTTCATAAACACCCATAATTTTTATAGATTCATCTTTATGACTGAACAGCCTGTGTATTTCTATATGCAACAACAACAATCCTATAAAATCCCACAAATGGGGATATTTTTTCTTTTCTCAATTAAATTCGCCTATATTTAAAAACATAGAGAGATTAGACAACTTTTCATAGTTAGCAGAGTGAGGCTAGTTCTGGATCTGATTATGACCATTGAATAAACAAGGCACACAGGGAGTACAGAATAAAATACAGTGATTTCCATAGATGGGGCACAAATTGAGAGACATTTTAAACACAAACACACAAGGCTTTGTAGAACAACAAGCCCAATATAATCCCAATATGATTGGTTGATGGGGGACAAGATGTTCATGGTCTTACCCCTGTTAAAAATAGAGAAGCTGTTTCCGTTAGATCCTGGATGCATAGTAGCATTTACTACCCACAACTTTCATATAAGAAGAAAATGAAGTTTAAATATCCATTTTGATTTAGTCCATTATTTTCCTCAAAGCTGAAACATTGTCAATAATGACTCTTTTAGCTCCACTGAAAAATGGACTGACAAGGATTTGTGAAACAATATATTTGGGATAGATGAATCAAAAGTCAACCAGACTAACCTTGATATGCGCGCAAAGATCCTCCATGTAATTGTCACATATCTGTTTGAATTTTCAATTGAAAGAGCAGAAATATCAAACATACAAAATAAAACAAAAAACATGCCTCTTTATAAATAGTAGCGATGATACTTATATACATGGTTAACACTGTTTATCTTGCAAAGAATATAGGGAAGCAAGAGTGGGAAGAATACTTCTATGAAGGGATAAAGTATCATGTAGTTATGATAAAACCTGTATCGTATATCCAGTAGTTGTGACTTGTGATAAACACACACTACACACGGTGAAATACTTATATTGTTACCACTTGCCCTATACAATGAAATTCTAATGAAAATCTTACCTTGGCTTCACTAGTAGTAGTATGTTTATGTGGCAATTGTTCCTTGAACTTTTTGAAAGTACCTGACAAAAAACACAATCAAAATATAGAGATCACCAGCAGACATGCTAAATTGTTGTCTACAGAATGATCATATGACTAAAATATTTTAAAACTTTGGGAGCTATATTTTCCTAAGAATATCTAAATTCTCCAACTCCTATCCTCCTAATAGAATGGTTGAAGAAAAATCAAAATCAAATTGGGATAACAATCACACTCAACTACTCAAGGTCTTTTGAAGATATTGTGAAGCGGTAATAAATGACTCGCAATTTGCTTTATTTTATTACATCACTACTCAAAGCATCAATGTACATCCCATTTCTAATCTTAATTTGCCAGAAAAGAAAAGAACTGTCCGCTCTAAAATGATCACGTGTACAAGAAAAATTCAGCAATAATTAAACATAATTTTATCGGCAGAAATGTGTACTCGCCCGCACACCTCCTAAAAACACAATGCAAAAGATAACATGTCCAATGTCAAAGTGGTGTTTGCATTTTTTATTACAAATAAAACTACAAAAGCATACACGTTCCGAGATCCATAGTGTAAACCATGGCACTGCATAGGAACCAAACGTAATGCATTGTTAGAATTTGTAATTACCATCACGTTTATCATAAGCCTCCTCAGAGATTGTGTATTTCTCCACATTCGAGGTATCATCCATCCAACCACCAGCTAATATTGACGATGGATCAGTGTCAATAACATGTAGCCGATACCTATATGGAACAAAGAGCTTGACAAAATTTAAGTACATTGAAATATGAAGAGGATATGGAGCCAAACTATCAAGTAGTTGAATTTGAATCCACATAAATCGTGGTCTTCGTCAAAATTTGTAGGCAATATACCAGAAGAATGCAACCAAAAAGTATAAAGGAATAGTAAGTCACAAAGATTTGCATATATAATGTAAAAAAACAAATCAACGAACAAATAATGCAATTTTTTAAATAAAATACTCTGTAGTTAACAGCTAAGTGGTCAAGGTTGCCTATGCTAGGAATCTCTGAAAAAGTGACAAAGAAACAAGACAAGTATCTATTGTATCCTGACGGTAAATCGGTACTAACTAAAAATGGTTCAAAGGCGTCCACATCAAAGCCTAGAGGATACATGCACCAAATATGAATCAGTTATAAACTTATAACTCACATAACTTTTATGAATCATTTTTCCTAAAAATATATTAGCCTTAAGAGATGGGAATTCCTAGAGGGGTGGGGAGAGAATTTTATTAGTCTAACTTGTTTTTATGTCATCTTGAGCTGAGGGGTTTTCAGAAACATCCTTCCCGCCTTTATAGGTAGAAGTAAGGCATGCATACACAAGCCCTCTTCAGACCCCAGTTGTGGGACCTTACCAGGGTGTTGCTGAAACATGAAAGCTTTCAAAGAATATCAACGAAATAGAGAACAAACTCACCCATCTTGTGGAGAATAAAAGCCAAATGGTTTCATGTCATCGCTCAAGTCTGCAATTTTAGCACCACTATCATCATAAAGCTCAAGACGCATTGAAGCAACAGAAGTTCCACACTTTTTCCATAGCTTTTCTTTCACAGCTTCTACTGTCATCTGGCCATAGAGGCAAAATTGGCTAGTCATACACTTAAAAGAGAAAATCATATGAATGGAGTAGTCACAGCCTAAAAACTAAAAAGCATACTACATCGAATTAAGTCTTACTTAAGCATTCTTAATATATTTTTTATACATAATTAGGTAACATTAGGGAAATAAATTTTTTTTTTTCCTTTGACTGGAAATTTACAAAGAGAAATAATGTGAACCACAAAATTCTTTCTTTAAATGGAAAGTGGAACCCTTTTTGGGAGAATAAGAAAAAGAAATGTGCCAAGTGATTTGAGTGCGTAAACTTTTTTGTTTGCATGTTTATTTTTGTAAAACAAATGATTTGATTTTCACTTTCCATCTGCAAAATGAAACTCTGTCAATAGTGCATTTCTTATTTTAAAATGTTTTAAGAAAATGGAACTAATGACAAAAAAATGAAAAGAAAGAGAATTTGTAAGAAATATATGTACCTGAAGATAGAAACGAACATCAGCCAAGAAACTCTTGATATTTGCATGGGTGACACTTACAAGAACTGAATCATCTGCAGGTATTTGTTGCAAAACGGAAGCCATAAAGAACAATATGGATTTTGGAATCCAAATGCTCGTCTTAATCTTGTAGCAAACCAGTACACATCAAATCACCTTCCAACCAGCAACTAGCCAACTACTATATCCTATGCAACAACACAACTCGTAAATCAACATAATGTGATGAAGTAATTTTGCTCATTTTGAAAGTGCAGTGGACACATGACCAATCCTACCATTTCATAGGCCAGGTGAAGGATAAAAAATATGATGTTTAGTGAAACTTAAACACATTTAATCACTAAAAAGTAAATTGATTTTTTTAAAAATGGTATACTCCCCAAATGCCTAAAAAAACAGCATATGAAGGTTTAAACCCTACTTCTCTATGCATAGACTACATTAATGTATGGATAAGTCCTCGAGATTTGCTCAACTTAGCGTCAGTAATATTTTCTCCACAAAATTTCAGTAGAGATGTATTTCTATGCAAGGCCAATTTGTTTCCTCTAACATTTCAATTTTCAAAGTAAAGTGTGTTTTCTTCTCCTTCCGTCCCAAGATGAAGTTTATACTTTCTTTTTTCTAGTAACCCAAAATAAAGTTTACACTTTTCCATTTTCACTTTTAGAAAATTGATATGTGGCTTTTATAATTTCTAGTATCTAAATAGATTTCAAATATACACCTTTTACTTTTCAACACCTTTTTTAAACTCCTTGAAGTACAAGGACTAATTTGAACATTTTTGAATAGTACAAAGACCTCAATGATACTTTGTACAAAGGAACAGCATGAAATTAAGAGGAGCTGAAGAGATAGGGATCATTCCATTAAATGTAAACTAGCAGCCAGAGTACAAAAATCTGAAACTTTTTATCATCGCTGTTTCGGTAATTGATCTGGGATCTCATTCGAAATTTGCAATATGTAAACAACGATTATTGCGGCTTTCGGTGAATAAGAGCACGGAAATTAACACGGCCTCACAAACAATGCATCAATGAAAATTTGAAGTGCATTATCTCACATTAAGCATCAGAAATAGATAATGTAGATGGATAGATTACCTGGCTGATCTTGAGGGCTTATGGCTTGCTGGATGTGCGTTCAAAAAATTTGATTAATTACTCCGTAATTAAAACAAAGATTCCAATGTCTCTTATGGTGTATTTTTATTGATATAACATGAGTAAAAAAATGAATGTATTTAAGGTAGTGTTTGAGAACTCGCATTTCATATCGATTCTTGCATTTCATTTCTGAAATCAAAGAATAAACTTCATTTTGGGACGGATGGAGCATAAGATTTATTGTGGTAATGTACGAATGTGCACACACATATATTGACAAACATGAACATAAATCTCACATATATACATCTAGCATATGAAGTGTAGACATTGTACCAAAGGCAATAAGAAATGACAAGAAAAAAATAAGGAATACCTAATATAATTTAAAGATGGCAAATTTATCCATTGTCTAATACGGAGTAACAAATTTATCCATAGCTATAATTCTTAATAATACAATAAAATGACAATATTATTAGCATTACAAAGTTCAATTTATTTTTCAAATTTTTATTTTTAGCACCCACTTACTTTGGTGGATTAGTTGAACACAAAATTATGTAATTGGATATTAAATGATAATCCCTCAAAATAGGAAGAAGAAAAAAATCAATTTACTCGATCAGAATATGAATTTGTCACCATTTCTTTACTTGGAAACAATAAATCAACAATAAATTATAAATTAAAGTAACCCTATTAAACAAAAAAAATTACCTGTTGCCGTGCAGGGGAAGACTCTGCAGTAGGCCAGTCCCGGATTGGCGGTTGTGGTGTGGTTGAGCTTGCCGCCGTGGGGCGTCCTCCGGTGGCGCTATGGATTTCCGTCGATAGTCTGGGGTGGAGCAGTACGCCAGTACCGGCTAGGTGAAGTATATCTTGTGTACGGGCGTACGGCTAAGGCCTAGTTCAACTTATTTTTTCTTATTCTTATTAAAATTAGATCATATCAGACCAGATCAGATCAGACCAGACCAGATCGAATCAGATCAGATCAGATCCAATCAGATCAGATCAGATCAGGACTTATTATAATCAGATCTCATCAAGAATTATTATTATTATTATTATTATTATTATAATTATAATTATAATTATAATTATTATTATAATTATTATTATTATAATTATTATTATTATTATCATCATCATCATCATCATCATCATCATCATCATCATCATTATTATTATTATTATTATTATTGTTCTTAAAAATGAAAAAGAATAAACTTTAGAAATAGGTTAAATAGAAAACTGAGAAAGTAATCCTTAATTATTAGACGTCGGAAAAATTAGTTTTAAAATACATTGACAATATCAATCTAATTCTACTTTTAAAATATATTTTTATTGCTACTTGTAGTTTGAGTTTCTAAACTTTTAATCTTTTATAAAGATGAGATATTTTAATAAAAATACTATCTCTTCTGTATATTGATTATCTAAATTTAATTACTTTTTAATTTATATCTAAATTAAATATTTATTCTAATGTATAATTCTAATTTTACAAAAAAATTATCATAAAATAAAAAGTATTATTACATTATAATATGAATGATTATTCTAATATATGAATTAACTATTTTTATTTTATTAAAAAATAATCATTAAATAAAAAATATTGATTATATTATAATATGAATTATCATTACAATTTTCAAATGTTATTATAAAGTCAAATTAAATTATTGATTTGAAATTTTAAATTAAATCATAATTAATCAGATCAGACCAAATCAGATCAGACCAGATCAGATCAGATCCAATCAAATCAGATCAGATCCAATCAGATCAGATCAGATCAGATCCAATCAGATCAGATCTAATCAGATCGGATCAGATCAGATCAGACCAGATCAGAACTTATTAGAATCAGATCAGATCAGAAAAAATAAGTTGAACGGAACGGAGCCTAAGGCTATGTTCCGTACGCCTGATGTGATCTGATTGGGTCTGATATGATCTGATTAGATATGATCTGATCTGATTGAATCTGATCTGATTTGATTAGATCTGATCTGATCTGAATGAATCTGATCTGATCTGATTGGATCTGATCTCATCCGATTGGATCTGATTTTCTCTAATTAGATCTGGTGTAAATGAATTTAAATTTGATTTAAACTAAACTTAAAGTTATTACAAAATTTAATAGTTTTAAAGTATTACAATTCATATATACATAAAAAAAGTAAAATAAAAAAATCAGCTAATCATTGATATGTTTAAACTTTTTTAAAAAATATTAAACATCTTTTCAATATCACAACTTTTTTAATTTTTGTGAAAACTAAATAATCGGTATTAAAATAACCAAATATTAGAAAATATTGATGCTATTCTACAAGAATATACATTCTATATACATATTACATAATAATATATTTCATGTTACAAATTAAATATCATATAAAATTTTAAACACTAATATCCCTTTCACCTCTATCAATTTTGTCATAAACTCACCCTTGTGTATATTTTACCATCTTAAAGCTTAAAAGTAAGTCTTTTTAAGTATAAAATATTTATAGTTTTGAAAACTAAGTTTTGTATAATTAATTTATAAACAAGTATTTTTAAATAACTCTTTTTAAAGTATGAAAAATAAAACTTTGTAAGATTTAACATTGCTTCCATGCATCATTTCTATCCTACAAGCTAAACAATTATTAAAAATAATGGTTTGTAGTTGAAATATAATAATAATAATAATAATAATAATATAACAACAATAATATTTAAAATTATAATATTAATTAAGATTTAGGTGTGTGTATTTTTAAATAAAGTAATGTGATTTAATAAAATAATAGTAATTATTATTTAATCCTTGAAAAATATAAATATTATCTTTTATATTATTCTTGATTTGATATTATTGGATTTGATCTGGTCTGATCTGATCTGATTGGATCTGGTCTGATATGATTGGATCTGATCTAATTTGATTGGATTTGGTCTGATCTGATTGGATCTGATCTGATCTGATCGAGTCTGATCTCATCTGATTGAATCTGATCTAATCTGATTGGATCTGATCTGATCTGATTAGGTCTGGTCTGGTCTGATCTGATCTGATTTTAATAAGAATAAGTAATAAGTAGAAAAAATAAGTCCTACGGAACGGACCCTAAGTAATTTTTAATTTGTAAGTTTATTGAAATATACTTCTCATAAATACAAAATAAGTTGTCTACCAACATTCATAAAAAGTTTTTTTTTTTGAACAACATTCATAAAAAGTTAATAATGAATAATTTGGTTGAAACAGAGAAATGAAAAAATAATTTAAAAATGAATATAACCATTTCATTTTTGAGTCCTATAGGAGTATGTTTTATTTGTCTAGTCTAATTAAATTTGATAGGGTTTTACACAATTCTAATTATTCTTAAAGTTATTTTTACCCAATTATAATATGAGTAAATTGAAAAAAGAAATTCTAAGTAAGTTTATAAACATATAAAAAAGTATCATTAAATAACTTTTAAGTTAATAAGAGTTTATGAACAGTTTTAACCAACCATTTAAATAATAATACAAAATTTTAAAATAAAATTTATATATTAAAAAATAATATTAAATTCTCTATGAAATATAGTGTGACATCATTATATGAAGTATTATTTTAATAAATGGTTAATAAAAATAAACAAAAAAACAAATTTGGCCGATGAATTGATTATTTGTCTAGTTTTGATTTTCTGTAGTCAAAATTGAAAAATTTTGCCCACTTGATAATTAAGTAAAATTGATATTAGATATTCATATAAAAATAATTTCATTGAATTTATTTTATATAATATTTTTTAAAATATTATATTATCTAATTAATATAGCATATATTTTATCGGTGGGGTTCTAGTGACACCGGAGTACGGTGACACTCCAGTGTCACTGTTATTTTGGCGTATTTCCGGTGCTCCGTTTGTAAAATATATTGACGATTCCTACATCCCCTAACCCCTCATCCTACCCCATCCTTGCACCCCACCCCAACCCCGCCGTAAGCCCCCCACAAACTATGTGGCTATTATGTATTTGGAGTGGGGGTGCATGGGCGGGGGTAGGTTGGGGGTTTATGGGGTGGGTTAGACGGGGTAGGAACTGTCAATTTTACGAATGGGGCATTAGAAGTGTCTCAAAATGACAGTGGCACCGCTAGTATCACCAAATGTGGGTGTCACTAGAACCCCACCGTATTTTTATTTAACTATAGGTCAAAGATTGAAAGTAGTTGATTACAAAAAAACAAAACTAATCAAATAATCAGACACAAATATAGTACTCCATATTTTGCATTCAGTAAATTTTACGAGAGAGACTATTTTTGTAAACATTTGCTCACCGGTCCTATATGAGAGTCCACAATACAATTTTCCTTTTAACAGATTTTAACTCTGTATTTAAGTTATATTTTAATCTAACTTTAACGTTATTTTAGAATAAATACTACGTTATTCGTAAATAAATTTTATAATTGTAATTATTATAATTGTAACGCATAAATGTGTAAAAATGAACATTACGCTGCTTTAGAATGAACACTGAGTTTATACAAAATAAGTATTTGTCAGGTGTGCCTAACTCTATTTTAAAAAGCAAATTATGAAGGTGTTTGGAAGTGATTAACTTGTGGATAAAGTGATTTCCACAAAAGCGGAAAGAAAAAACATCTCATACTTGCTTCTCCGAAACGGTATTCTATGTACAAAGTAATGGTGTTGAAAAGCAGAAGCTGGCATGCCAAATAGAGTAAAACTAGTTCAACTCAAAGCAGAAGCTAAATTATTAAAAGCAAACATCCTCTATATGTAAAAAAAAAGCAAACTATTAGTAAAATGCCATGTCACAGACTCACAAGGGTGGCAACGGGTCGAATTAGGTCGGATTCGAATTTGATTTGGCGAGTCAGGTTTGGAACTTTGGATATTTATTTTTTCAATTCGGATTTGGTTTAAGGTTCAATCAGGTCGATTACAATAAAATTTGAATTAGAATATCAATAAATACATTCATGATTAAATTATGATTGATATACATTAAACTTTAAATTTTTGAAGATGACATACAAATTAAGATGTTGACTATATGGATAAATATGTCCCCTACACCCAAAACTAGGATACCAATAGCTTGTGGGAGACATGTAGAAGTGGCAATGGATAGATATGGTCTGGAATAAGTTCTCCATTCCTGAACATAAATTTATTCTTTAGCTGATTTGTGAAAACAAAATTCAGACTAAGATCAGGTTGAGCAAATGGCTTCCTATTGATAATCAATGCATGCTATGTCAAAATTCTGAGGAAGATCTCCTACACTAAGAAGATGCATAGTAGAGTCCATGTTTTGAGTCATTACCTTTCTGAGGGCATCACTGAAATGACTGAACACATTTAGGGGATTGCTCCAATGAAGAAGAAGAGGGAGATAGTAGCGATCTTTGATGCTTGTCTCTACCGCACTTGGAAAAGTAGAAACATAGCCTTACACAATAATGCTCTCACTCCAATTGAGGAAGTTGTTCAATGGATCAAGTATTATTCTAGTACTTTTTTACACTCAAAAATCTCTGTGCCAGCTTGAGTAGTTGTAGGGACTGTAATAGCTTGGGAGTTAATAATTACTTAGATAGTGCATGGTGCTTAATGTAGATGTTATAGATAGGCTGTGGCTAGTTCAGTTTGGGACTCTTATGCACATATAAGAGGAGGTATTGGATATATTTACATTCGGTTCAAAAAAGATGTTGAAAAAGACTCCACCGTGAACCTGTATATGATTCAAATGGGTAATTTCTTACTACCTTGATGATCATTTTTAAAAAAAAAAATAAAAAAAGATAAAAATAAAAAAAGAGTTTTTATATGAAAAGATCCACAAAAACAATATACGCCTAAGGTACACCATAGAAACACTCTTGATTCATTATTTTCCACCCAATATTTGCTAAGATATCTTCATATATGGGTGTAAAAAAAATATGATGAAAATACCAAAATAGAAACCCAATGAAAGTATAGTGTAAGCAGTACGCGTGAGTAGTGTGATAAAAAATGATGACTGTGTAATATATCAGTGTGATCAGTTAGTCGTCGGTGATCCGATCCGCGACGACATTTTGATGGCCAGCGGCGATAGATGATAGTGTGGTGGCGATAGTGTGACAGTTACAATGTGATTAGTGAGATAGTTAGGGGTGCATACAAATCAAATAAAATATATTCGATTCGTGATTCGTATTCGAAAATGATGATTCGTATTTGCTATATTCGAATCCGAATTCGAATACAAATATTAATAGATTCGATTCGTTTATTTTTCAAATTATTCGAATATTATAATTAATAAATAAATTTATATATATTCTAATATATTAAATATTTGTGTACATATGTTAACATATTTTAATATATTAAATTTTTGTGTACATATAAATTTATATAACATATTTTTACTACATTTTACATTATTATAAAATAATAATTTAATGTCTTTAAGAAATCTATTTTAATAAAAAAATTTCTAATATTTTCGAATTCGAATATTCGAATACGAATTCAAATACGCCAAATATCTATCGAATCGAATACGAATGTTTTTTAAAATTTGAATTATATACGAATCCAAATTCGAATACATATCACTTTAATCGAATACGAATCGAATAGTGATATATTTGCTTCGATTCGATTCGTATACACCCCTAGAGATAGTGTAACAATAAGAGTGTGAACTTTTATCTTAGTCTTAACATATTTATAACTCATATTCTGATATTTTTAATTCTTCATATGGAGTATTTGCTTTCTCTCATATTTTTTCCTTTAAATATTTTGATAATGAATTACTCGCCATGAGTATAAATTAATTCTGGAGAGGGAGGGAGTAAAGAACTGAGTTTCCGCCTTCGCCCAAAACCAACGCCATAGCCGGTCTCTACTACTGCTCCGCCCCAGACAATCGACGGAAATCCACAGTGCCACCGGAGGACGCCGCACGGCGGCAAGCCCCAACCAGACTGAAACCGCCAATCCGCGACTAGCCGACTGCGGAGTCTGCCCCCCACACGGCAGCAGGTATTTTTTTGTTTAACAGGGTTTAATACTTATAATTTATAATTTATTGTTGATTTTTTGTTTCCAAGTAAAACAATGGTGACAAATTCATATTCTAATAGATTAAATTGGGTTTTCGTTCTTCCTATTTTGAGGGATTATCATTTAATATCCAATTACTTTGTTTTGTGTTCACCTAATCAACTAAAGTGAGTGGGGTTCTAAAACTAAAAATTTGAAAAAGAATCTGAACTTTGTAAAACTAGTAGTATTGTCATTTTATTGTTTTATCAAGAATTGTAGCTATGTATAAATTTGTTACTCCGTATTAGACAACAATAAATCTGCCATCTTTAAATTATACTCCGTATTAGGTATTCATTACTTTTTTTCGTCATTTCATATTGCCTTTATAAACAAAATTGGAGGAAGTTGAAATTTATTTAGAAGAGAGAGAGAGGGAGAGAAATGATAAACAACAACAAACCCAGTAAAGTCTCACAAAAGTGAGAGCCACATATTTGTTTCGTAGAAAAATACTAGTAAAGTGAAAAAACTTAACTTCATTTTGGAACGGGGGGGGGGGTATATAAAAATTTGTGCCCCCAAATGCTTTGAATACATATCAATTTTTTTTAAAATTCATGGTTTTGATTTGTATGAAGTCAAAGTGGCGCATTAAACTTCATTCCCTTCTTACTGTCTATGGAGTTTTGCATAGGAAATGTAGCAATGCATTTAGGGTCTAACATAAACTTCTCTATTTTTTTTAGAAGGGTGGGTCTCTATACATCTTAACCAGACCCCAATGAAATTATGATGATACTGTTTTGTTTTTGCTGTTGGTTTCTGTAAGCATAAGATATTGGATTATATAATTTTCACTAGCTATGCTGTTTTTTTTGTTAAATGTATTCCAGCCACATTACATGTTCGCTCCTGCAATCAAGACAGTTTGTAATAGACAAGTCTTCAGAAGTGTTAATTCATTTCGAGTTAAATCACTTTCTGCACTTGCCCAGTTGAGCCAATATCCCTCAGATTCTTCTTCTAGTTCTGATGGAGAAAGTTCAAGCAGTAATGTCACCGGTTCTGGTTTAGTCCAAGTTTTCTCTGAAGACGGGGTTCCAGAAATTCTTTACAGATTAAGGAATCAGCCGAATTCTGCAGTAGCATACTTCCAACAAATGAAAGAGCGTGAGTTGCAGTGTGGTGTTGATACTTATGTGGCGATTATTAGGATACTTTGTCATTGGCGCATGGATATAAGATTAGATTCGATACTGTTGGAGGTAATTAAGTCAGAGAAAGACACTCTGGGTTTTGATGTGTCAGAATTGCTTGGAGCATTGATGGAGGGACTCGACGGAGAGAGCCCCGATTATATAATTCAGGTTCTAAATGCATTGGTCAAGACTTATGTGAGTTTGGGCATGTTTGATGAGGCCATTGATCTCCTATTCACAACAAGGCGGGGGTTTAGTCCACGGTTATCGTCATGTAATTTTTTGATGAACCGACTCTTTGAGTTTGGGAAATTGGATATGGTTGTGGCTATTTATAAGCAATTGAAGAGGCTTGGGTTCAACCCAAATGTTTACACTTACGGAATTGTGATTAAAGCACTATGCAGGAATGGGAATTTGGAAGAAGCATCGAGTATTTTTGGGGAAATGGAGGAATTGGGTGTGCGTCCTAATGCGTTCACTTACTCTGCATATCTCGAAGGCCTCTGCTTGCACAGGGGCTCTTCTCTGGGCAATAAAGTATTACAAGAATGGAAAAAGTTAAATAAACCCCTTGACGTATTTGCTTACACTGTCGTCATTCGTGGATTAGTCAAAGAAAGGAAGTTTTCAGAAGCTCACGGTCTTTTACACGATATGGAAGGAGAAGGTCTTGTTCCAGATGACTATTCTTATGGGGCACTAGTTCAGGGTTACTGTGAGACAGGGAATAATACTAAAGCTCTGGATGTCTATGAAGAGATGAGAACAAAGGGTATTAAGACAAATTGTGTGATTGTTAGCTCTGTTCTTCAGTGTTTGTGTCGAAAGGAGATGACATTCGAGGCTGTTGAAGAATTCAATAGGGTTAAGGAGCTTGGAGTTTTTCTTGACGAGGTTGTTTATAATGTTGCAATTGATGCACTATGCAAACTGGGAAAGATGGAAGAGGCTATGAAGCTGTTAGATGAGATGAAGAATAAGAGGATGACTCCAGATATTGTGCACTACACCACTTTAATGAATGGATTCTGCCTAAACGGTAAACTATTTGATGCCTATACCTTATTTACTGAAATCCTGAATAGCGGACCAAAACCGGATGTTGTTACATACAACGTGCTTCTCGGTGGATTTTCTAGAACTCGTCATGTACAAGAGACACTTGATCTGCTGGATTATATGAAGAGACAAGGTTTAACCCCAACTGATGTTACATATAATGTAATTATTGAAGGTTTTTGTGTAGGCAATAAGGTGGAAGAAGCTGAATTATTCTTTGATAATCTCAATTGTAAAACCGAAGAAAACTATGCGGCCATGATAAATGGGTACTGCCAATCAAATAATACAAGCAAAGCCTACAAACTATTGCAAAAGCTGTTTGAGCAACGCAAATCTATAAGGAGAAGTTCATGCTTGAAACTGATGGCTTGCCTGTGTGAGGAAGGTGAATGTGATAAAGCTGTGGAACTATTTAAGGAACTAGTTTTAAATAAATATGACCCATGTACATCAATGTATAACTATATAATAGCTGCTTTATGCCGAGCTGGAGATATGAAAAAAGCTAGGAAGATATTTGACATTATGGATTCAAGTGCATTAAAACCCGATGTAATTATTTATACCATGATGTTAAATGGTTATTGTAAAGTTAATTGCTTGCAAGAGGCACGCAATCTCTTTGCGAACATGTTGAGCAGGGGAATATCTCCTGATGTTGTCACGTACACGGTTATACTTGATGGTTATTCAAAAGGTTTAACAAGGGCCCAATCGTCATTCCACGCGGGGCGAGATAACAACATTGCTCATGCTATCTGGCATAAAATCAAGGAGGACAGGTTGAACGCTGATGTCATATGCTACACTGCTTTGATTGACAGTCATTGCAAGTCTAATAGCCTTGAAGAGGCTGTTCAGTTATTCAATGAGATGGTTGATAGAGGCGTACAACCCGATAATGTTACATACACTGCCCTTCTATGTGGCCTTCATAGGCATGGACGTATAGAACATGCCGTTAGCTTTTGTAAAGATTTGAAGGATAGGGGAATAGAACCAGATGATCAAATGAAGTCAGTTTGCAATGTTTTGTTTAAGGCCAGAAGAGTGCAAATCAAGCGTTAAACTTCAGGATCTCAATAATGTTACATGCACTGCCCTTCTATCTCGCTTCTATAGGCATTGACATATAGAAAGGGCTGTTAGTATTGTGAAGGAAATGATGGATAAGGGAACAGAGCCAGCCAGATAATATCATACGATGACATCGTCCAGTGGCTTGTTTAAGGGCAGAAGAATCCAAATCAAGCTTAAAGCCTCAGAGTCTTATGTGTAAGTCAACAAGTATGATTTCATTTCAAATCAATGCAATAATATATTTAACATTTCTCCTTTGACATTGTGTGTATGTCTGTTTTACTAATACTCCACTCATTCCAATTTAAAATGTCTCGTTAAGGTATGACTTTTGAGTGTTGGCAAGGTACAACTGTTAAAAGTCACGAATCATATTTGCATTCATAAAACTCATTTTGTGGATTATCTAAATGTACCATGGTTAACTTCTTTGTGAACTTTTTTTTGGAAATTCTTGGAATTTTAAATGGCTAATTATATCTGTTGGATGAAATATACTTCTTTATGGCCTTATGGGACAGACAAGTTTTTTTAAACTGAATGCTTCTTTTGGTAGAAGGGTAGCATTTGATACTTCTTAAAGTAAATTGACAAATGTCTCTGATTCTGAAAACACTTTCAGGGCTTCTTGGTTCATCTACAATGATGGACTTTGTGATTAATGATGCTCAATCAGGCTGCTGCTATCAAATTGGTGGTAATATGTCTTTCGATTAAACTTTAATTCATATCATGTGAAATTCATTTTTTAAGTAATATGTAATCCTTATATTTAGTTAAGTGTATAGCTACCATGTAACTTTTTTTGTGTGTGGAAAAATACAGATGGATATTCTGAAGTTTGAGCCACAATGATATTCCCGAGTGTCACAAGAATTCTTCGAAAATAGCAGGGTTTATCATCCTTTACGGCTATGCTGAGCTAGTTTCTTTGTTAGCGCCACACGTGCGCCACAAGAACGGCCGCCTCTTTGATTTGGATGCCTCAGCTATCACTTGAGTAAGATTTTTTTTCCAAGAGAATTTCAATTTTCAAATGTTCCATCTGTCCTAAAATAAGGTTATACAATCGACTAACACGATTATTAAGAAACGTAAAGAAATGTTGAACCATAAAATGTTGTCTTTAAAAAGAATGTGGAACCTTTGTTTGGGACCAACAAATTAAGAAATGCGGGCTCTTTTTATGGGATTGAGATAACATATAAAATGATAAACATAAAAAAAAAACAAAACCCCCTCTAATTTTTAAAAGCATTATTAAAAGTTGTGGATCATTCGTTTCAAACTTTATTGTATCGTTACTTATTATTTTAAAGATAGAATGGAATTTAAAAAAATCATTGATTAGTTTTATTCAATGCCCTTTAGTGTTTATCTAAACAATTTCATAGAAAGCAATGATAAATTTTACTCGTTGAGAACATTTTTGGATGCTTTTCTTGTTTGTTTTGACTAATATTGTAGGGTATTGATGGGATTTTTTTTTATATCATCATGCCTGCTTCAAGGTAAAAGATAAGAGGGGAAGCATGTGTTTGATGCCCAGAAGCAGAAATGGGCAAGGAGATTAAGCACCTCATGAGGCCATTGATTGGGTGGGTATGGACTTTGCACTTCTTTGGTCGATGCCTTTATGAATCTATATCTTTTGTTGATGCCATGCATTATTTTATTTTTTTTCTATCTTAAATTAGGCCTATGCAATTGTAACTAGGTAATAACATGATTAGTTGTTCTCTTAATTCAGTGTAGAACTTGCAAACTCTTACTACATTCAACTTACATAAGGTTCTTTCTCAATAGAACCCACCCTACATACCTCTTCACAATTTTAGAAATAGTCAAAACTTCATTGCCTCCGTCAAACCATCGGGCTTCAAACAATAAACTTTTACAATAACCTGGTAGTCAACACAATATATATACAGACACGTACAATTATTTGGACGATATATATATATATATATATATATATGATTTCAACGTATATACATAATTATATTAATGCACGATGAATTGTTTTAAAAAACAGATGATTAATTAATAGTTGACTTATTATTTTATTATAAAATGAAATGACCTATATTTAATTTAGTAACAGCCAAGTCTCTCAGGAACACCCATATCTCTCATCAATCTCTCCACTCTTCCTTCCACATCAATCAGCAATTTCTTTGCCGCCTGGACTTGGATTTTGAAGCGTCCGTCCAGTAATGACATGCCTGAAATAATCCTGTCACAACATGCAATACATTCCCTCACTTTTTCTAAGAAATCATACATTCCTAAATACGCCGCCATTCTTCTTCTTCTTCTTCTTCTTCTTCTTATTATTATTATTTAAAGAAAAGAGTATTACTTAAGAAACAATGTCAATTTTGTTTGTTATTTGGTGAACTATTTATAGGCAGGCAGTCATATATATATATAGTATTCGTTTGATCTTATATATATGCAGTCATATCATGCATGCTCCTCTTGATTATATTGCACGTATTATTATTATTATTATTATATACTATTAATGATAGACGACCATGCATGCATAATCATTCTTTTAAAGCCAAATATATAAAACGTACTAAAAATATAATATATCGCCCATGCAAGTAGATCATTACTACGGAGTAGATTTTATCATAGTACAAATCCTACCATACAATGCGTCTTTTGACTACTATTTGATCTCTTTTTTCGGCCAATCAAAATTCAAAAGTGCTAGACATTAATACTAGCTACTCATGATTATTATTGTAATATTGGTGATGTCAGTGTTTTAGTATTTATTAGTGAGCTTCTATTCTAGTTTCCTAGCTAGTCCTAGTTGGGGTTGTGTTCCCCTTATATATGTACTCTACCATGTTCTCATAAAGCTTGACCCCTACCCGCACAACAACTGCCGCAATTCACGAACATCCCTTCTCTTGCATGCCCAGCAGGCTCTGCTGCAACAATACGTAATGACCACCACCCACCACAGATAAGGATCCGTTTGACTCTCTTCTTAATTGGTGGCCTCCGAGTGTCCTTCCAAAATCTACAGTCTCTTGTTCCCATAAAATTGTGACTGTCTCTGTCTTTGCCATGCCAGAGAACCAATTCCTGAGCAGGATGTTATATATTCTCGGCGTTCTCTGTGGTCTACCTCCTCATCAATATGCTCCCCTTAAACAGAACGTTAGGACAAATACTGCTGGCCTTACTTTCAACACTGTGTCCTCGCGGTTGTTATCAGAAGAGCTTAATGTTCGGATCGAGCAAAAACTGAGCCTTGAATCACCGCCTACTCCCTCCCCCAACGTGCACAAAGCTCTCCACGCGTCCAATGGACGAGGCCGCGGCAACCAAGTTCGTGGTTGGGGCCGCTTTCCGAATACCGAGGAGGAGGAGACTGGACCAATTGTGGCAGTGGTGGGCGCTTCCTGTCTGGACCTCCAATGTAGGACTTAAACTTTTTTATTTCCTAAATAAGATTTATGGTCATACATTAGAAAATAAAAACGTATGGTCATATACTGAGTGATAAATTTGAGATGGGTATGGGCAACTAGATTGAGATATAAGATACTTGGGCTGAACCACATTAAAAGATTGAATCCAATCGATTACTTAGTTCAACTCTAGAGCTTATATACTGATGAGCTTATATACTGATTATTTTACTCTTGGATTTTCTGATGTGGGACGTAGTCTAACACTAAGAAAGTCATTATGTTTGAATCCTATTTAGGCATGGGCGGAGGAGGGGGGCATGCCTGGCCAAGTGCCCCCGGCGAAATTCCGTCGAAATAAGGTTAGGGTACCCAATCGGCGATGGGAGACCGGATTNTTGGAACGGAGGGAGTATTTAAATTACTAAGAATTCAATAAATTAACGTAACACGAAGATCTAAAGCATATGATTTTTTAAAGTTATATCTTATAAAATATAATTTGTGTAAGATGCAAATGTATTAATGTTTTTAGATATGGAATATAGTATAGTATAAGGAGTATCGTAAGTTAAATTGCAAATCGATATTGGTCAATCATATAAATTACATAGTATGATTATTCAAATATTCGTTTAAGATTCGATAACTATTCGAATATTAATCAAATACATATTCAAATCTTATTTTGAATTCATCTCATATTCGTGGATTCGAAATAATTAAACAAATACAAATTCAAATATCTCGGTATTCGCTTCGATTCGTTTACACCCCTAATGGTTAGGGATGTTCATCGGTCTAAAACCGGACCGGACCGGACCGAAAACCGAACTAAGCTAAAACCTAGACCGAAGACCGGACCTAAATGTAGTCGGTTTTGGACCGGACCGACCCGAAATCTTATGGACCGAACTGGTCCAGACCGAAAAGACCGAATCCAGCAGGCCGGAATTGAAACTTTCCCCACCGGTGAAACCCTAGTTGTGGAAAATTGGGGGTTTGGCAATCCCGAACCAAATGTTGCAATTGAGGAGTCAGGGTGGGTTGTAAAGATGTCAGGAAGATGCCTGGGTGGGTGCGCGACGTCGAATTTGCCGGAGGTGGCCGGAATCTGCAAATAACCCCCAGAAACCACCGTGACGGGTCGCAATTGATTCCCAGCGATTCCGGCGTCCAAATCCCACAATGCTGGTGGCGATGGGGTCGTATGGACCTCAGGAGGCGTTTATGAGTGGTGGGGAGGCTCGCCGCTGCGTGTGGTGGCCGAGGCAGATTGGGCAGCGGCATGGACGGCGGCTGTTGATATATGACATTTCCCGGCAGCTTTTCCGGTGATGTTTGGGTGCAATAGGACCGGCGGGATAAGGAGGAGTTTAGTGGGTGACCGGCGGACACGACGTAGAAGATGTTGTCCAAGTCTCCAAGAAGGCTTCCTTGAAGAAGATAAGATCTGACACGAGGAGGCTGGGAGGAAATACGGAGTTAATAATATTGTCGGTCATTTCGGTTTGGACCGAATTACAGTCGGGTATGGACCGGACCGGACCGAATCCCGAAATTCAAAAAATTCCGGACCGAAGACCGACCCGAAATCTATTCGGTCCGGGTTCGGTCTGGACCTATCGGTCCGGTTCGGTCAGTTTTTTCGGTCTGGACCTAAACATGAACAGCCCTACTAATGGTACGAGAGGTAAGGTTTTTTCTTTATGTCCTTCCCACGGCTTAACCGCCTTTCTTCTACTTTTCCACTGCGTTTGTTTGGAGGTAGGGAGAGGTAGAGGGAGGTAAATTTAATATTTTACCTTGTTTGGGAATAAAAATTGAGATAGGTAGGGGAAGGTAGGGGAAGGTAGAGGTAATGAAATAGGCCGCTGCCCTTCACCCAATCGCACGAAACAAATCGCCATCTTCACATCGTCTTCTTCTTCCGGTTCCGATCGCACAGGTATTCTATCGCCGTTCAATTTTCACTTTTTTTATCCGAATTCCTATCGCCATCTTCACAGATTGTTTTTAGGTGCTTATTTTTGTTCTGCGATGGACTTCAATTTCTATTGCCACTACTGCTCTTTCTTTGCTTTTTTTTTTGCACTTCGATTTTCATTTTTTTTTTTCAATTTCCTGAATTTTTTTCACTTTTTTCGTTCTGCTCTACTTCAATTTTACACTTTTTTCAATTTTCAATTTCCAGTTTTTAATTTCCTCTGTTTTTTTGTTTCCTTTTTTTCAGTTTTCGTTTCTTTTTTTCTTTTTTTTCAGTTTTCAGTTTTTCTTTTTTCCACTTTTTTTTTGTTTCTGTTTATTTAGCTCTAGGGTTAATTAATTGCTGTAGATTGATTTATCTAGTTAACTATGCAAGAAGGAGTTTATCCTTTTTCACATTGTGATATGGAAGACAATATTGCAATAGATGACTCTTTTTAATTTTCAATTTGTATTTTTTATGCTTTGTGAACCACTTTTGATGCCAAAATACTCAAATGGATTTTTTTAGAAGTTTTGCCTTTGACATCCTAAAAAAATAAAGAAAAACAACCACAAGGATATTTTGGTAATTTTATTTTTTCTCTACCTCACGTTACCTAATAAACATCCAAACACAATTTTTTAATTCATTACCTTACATTACCTACTTTCAGTTACCTACCTTCAATTACCTACCATTACCTACCTAATAAAACTTTTACCTACCTCCAACCAAACATAGCCTTCGTTTTTCCGCAAGTTGCCTCTTCGTCAATCATCATCACAAAAAAAAAACTGCCGCAAACACAAATATGTGGCACACAAAGACAAAATGATCTCCATTTGTCCCCCACCCCCTCCATTACCACATAAATGGGTAAGATATTTTAAAAAAATTAAATAAATAAAAATGGGATAAAAATGAATGGTGGAGAAAAGGCTGGGATAAGGCTTGCTCGCATACAAAACCTCTGCCGCAATTATTGTTCCTTTATTAACATCTACCGCACAACATCTGCCGCAACGAACATCCCTTCTCTTGCCCCAAGTTTTGCCACAAAGACGCCTCCGGCAGCCGATCGCAGAAGCACAATATCGAAGAAGAACCGTTGTCGTCGCCGAAGAAGAAAGAAAAAAAATGACGTCGTTTCAAAGTAGGGTTTAAATTCATTCCTTTGGGCTTTGACCCAGCCCATTGCTCCTCCACCTAATAGGCAGTAGCCCAATTGTGGCAATTGCCCAAAAAAATACGGAGTACAGAAACGACAAAGCAGAAGACCAGAAGTGCAAAACAATTCCGCTGCAAGCCCGCAACACTTTAATGGTTTTTTATTTTAAAGTTTTTTAATGTTTCATAATTTATACCTTAAATCTTTAATGGTTTGATTTATTTTTATTTCCAAGTGATGAATTGTGGTTGTGTAGTCTTAATAGGTCCAATTTTTAATGATTATTATTATATATAATACTATTTATTTCCTATTTTGAGAGCATGAGCAATGGCAAGTAGAAAATGGAATGTCACACGGTGACGTGAAATATTTTAACCAATCAAAATCTGTCCAGTCAGCGTGTGACAAGTGAATGGAGTGACATGCCTTACAATGGCAAGTAATTGTTTTTGTCCATTTTTACACTTTTTAAACATATTTTAATTATTAAAAATTATTTTACTTATTTTTTTTACAAAAATAGATCTACTCCTATTTTTAAAAAAACTTCTTTTTGTAAAAAAAAATTCTGACACGCACATGGAAAAATATAAAGTAAAAGGTAAAAAAAGATCTTTGTGCGCCTCGCGAAGCCTCGTGTACCCTGGAAGAATTGTAATCCTACGCAAGGCAAGCGGATGGATTGTCCTACGTGTCGTCATGGCATGGCAAGCGGATGGAATGCCGCTGCGCATGCTCTGAGAGATCATAATTTATTACATGTCCAGTTACTTTTATTGTTATTTTAGTATTTATTAAATGTTAATTGAACTATTTGAATGTTTGAGTCAAAATGTATAACTTTTTTGTCATACGGAGTATCATGTTAGCTTTAACAAAAAAGAATTCCATCTGGTCCCAGAATTTGTCCCCGGCTAGCGAGCTTCTGACTCCGCCACTGTATTTAGGTAAATTTCGCATTAAACAAATAATGCGCACTAAGACATGAACATATACGCTACATAATTATAAGGAAAACACTTTCAAAATACATACATAATCACATGCTCGGATTCAATGAAATATTTCTGGAAACTTCATAGAACAATTAATATAATTGACAAATACTATTATTATTATTATTATTATTATTATTATTATTATTATTATTATTATTATTCGGAAATAAATAAATCATAGCTGAGGTACGTACAAATTAAGATTGTAAACAAATGAATTAAACCCAACATATATAGTCAGAGCTTATTATTCAAAACTATAATGTTGTTATTACATAGGTAGCTACTATATGTATCTAAAATATATATATAGTATGAACGTACTATACGTAGTCGATCAACTAATTTAACGAGGAATACCATTATCGTCCATTATTTTCTCCACCTTGGCTTGGATCTCAAGGATCTTAGTCTTTACCCCTCTAATTCTGTTGTTTAAATCTACGCTTTTTCGCCTCTCAGAAGGAACTGGAGGAACCCTTTCCCAACATTGTACACATTCTCTTACTTTCATTAAAAGTTCAACCATTGGTGAAGCCATATATATTCGTTATATATATATATATATATATATATATATATATATATATATATATATATATATATATATGTTTTTTTGATGAAGATAATAACAATAACAATAATAATAAATGTTAGTTGGGATATATGATAATGTATTCCAAGGGTGTGGTAATAGAAAATGAATGTATTTTGTTGGTGAATTTATAGGCATGCATAAACAAATATTTTATGCATGCATGGTTTTTATTACTTTGAATTGTATTTTTATTGTTAACACATGCACGCACCCATGCATGCTTCTCTTATTGCAAGTACCCTTACCTCTTAATGATAGAGGCCGGATATATAGAGCATCAATGTTTTAAAGACTAAATAAAACCTAATAATGATGATATATGGCCTATATGCAAATCAAATTAAAAGATTATATCGTGATTTATTCTACAAAAAAATAATAAATACTACTCCTCCCTAAATAAACTCTACTCTCGCCATTTACAGAATCAAAACATGTGTAGCTTCTTTTTTCACTTATATACTTTATTTACTTTTAAAACAAAATAATCATGTCACTTATTTTTGTTTTAAAGATTTTCAATATACCGATATAAAATCGGTGAGGTTCTAGTGACACTAGAGTACGGTGCCACTCCGGTGTCACTGCATTTTTGGAGCACCTCTGGTGCTCTGTTCGCAAAATTGACGGTTCCTACCCTCCCTAACCCATCCCCTAAACCCCTCCCCCCACCCTCCCCCCACCCTACCCCCGCCCTTGCACCCCTACCCCAACCCCGCCGTAAGCCCCCCACAAAATGTGTGGCTATTATGCAATGCATAATAGCCAAACATTTTGTGGGGGGCTTACGGCGGGGTTGGGGTGGGGGTGCAGGGGTGGGGGTAGGGTGGGGGGGTTAAGGGGGTGGATTAGGGGGTAGGAACCGTCAATTTTGTGAACGGAGCACCAGAGGTGCTCCCAAAAACGCAGTGGCATCGCTAGTGGCACCGTACTCCGGTGTCACTAGAACCCCACCGATATAAAATATAAAACAATAACTTTCTTTTTTTTAATAATTTTACACTAATATTTGTTTTGAGACATAATTTTGAAATATTTTTAATTGTTATAGTATATATTTCTATATAAATAGAGAATAATGTACCCACTAATATTAACAGTGTAGTACTTGTAATTGTGGGTTTAAAAAGCAATTCACAATGGCACCAGTGCACTTGAAATCAACAATGCCAATTTATGATGATTTTGTGGAGCCTCCACGCGGGACAATAGGGAAAAACTTGGAGATTTAAAGGGGGCTTTTATTAATAATAGGTTTTGGTTGAAGTCAAGCATTTGGTCAGGTTTGGTATTTGTTTTGCAATGCGATTCCACTTGATCATGTCCTTGTGGGTCAGTGGATGATGGTACTCGTTATGTAGGACAAGTAGGAATGATGATTCTAGGATTCTCAAGATTTACAAAATTTAAATAAATATTAACCAGACATAATCTTAACTTGCACAAAAAAATCTAAGAAGAATACACTTTGAGTTAATATCCCTACCGAGATCGAACACATGACTTCTCATATACATGGAAGAGTGTTAACGGTATCATTGGACTACATCGTCCTTGGCAATTAAAAAGATATGCTTAGAGCTTACAAAATGAAACATTTACATATATGAGGATGAAATAATAAAATGTCAAACCAACCAAGTACATAAGAAAATACTTGTGTATAAACCAAAATCTCTGCTTATCATAGCAAATTCCCTTGATCCATCTTTTAGCACTTAACCATGGTTCTAAGCCATGATTAACACTGCCTTTGGTTTATCTTGATTCACTCAACACCCGGGGCTAATCTAATTCATAAATGACTCACTCAAAACTCCATATATCAAGCTTGAAATCAACAATTATTACACAAGATTTTCATCATTCACATACAAATATTCATGTGAATTGGAGTTCTAGGCTGTCTGGAGTTATACTATGGAACAAAAATTCATCACTGATGGTGCCTGTTTGATGAAGACATACTGTATAAGAGTATTTCAATGTTTTTGTTTCCATGAAGTAGAAAATGAATAAAGAACATCAGCTAACCCCAGACAGCCTAAAACGATTAGTATAAACGGGTCAAATCAAAAAGCCACATTAGTGCAGTGTAAGCGTAGAAATTTATCACACACATTCATTCAAACACACAAATCTGGAGATGCAAACGTCAACAAAAAAAACTACTCTGGGGTACATAACAAGAAAGAGGGGTCTAAAAGATGGAGAGGTAAAGAAGTGGAGGGAGAAGGGAACACACTAATACACAATCTTTGCAATGTCAAGTGGCCCAAAGAACACAAACTATAAACACATCTCTCTCTGGATGGAGGAATCATAAAGCAAAGAGAGCAGCAGATCAAGCATGGCAATAGGGGAGAAGAGTATTTATTTCACACGTTCTTTGAGGACATCAAGACTCATCTCACTGGGATCGGTTGCTTGCAGCTCCACCTGAATGCCATCTAATTCCCTCTTAAATCTGTCCTTGGAGCTTGCATATGTCATTTTGCTTCTAACTTGGCTTGTATCTGGACACCTTCACATAAAAAACACAAGCACACCAATAGTTTTAGTCTACACTTCAAAATCATGCTCACATTAAACTCAAATGTATGTTAGTTACCATGCAATAAAGAATATCCTGCTTTTTGGGGCATTATCTACTGAAAGAAAGTCATAATCATAGACAGCATATCGGCACTCATTGGCAGGCAGTGCTGTGGTGAAATCAGCATACCCCTCTTTTGGCTCACCCAGCTTTTCCACAACTACCTGCATTTTCTCAATCTTGAATACTATATACCGGTGAGTCCTCTTTGCCTTCAACTCCAAAAATCTCAGTTTGCAATCATCGTGGACCGAAATGCCAGATGCAGCATTTGCCTGTGCATTTCAGACCAAAGGCAACCATTCAAGTCTTGACTGATGCAAAAGGCTATAAGGAATTCAAATATATGTATTTCATAAACAAAGACAAGTGAGTAGTTGTTTGGTTTAAAAAAACCTAGAAGGCTGTAAGAGGACCATGAATTGTACTTCCAGCTTTCTGCTTCCATAATCATATCCAAGTACAACCCAGGAAAATATGAGAGGCATAGATAATTTAAAACCTCCCTCTAAAATACTTTGCAAGAAATATTTCCAGAATTTGAACTGGAAAGTAAAGCTGACCAAATATGTTATCATCACAAAAGACGAGATGGTCAATTTCCTCAATAATAAATAAGTGTGATTTGCAGTAATAGTGCTATTGAGGGCGTTTAACCCCCAAAACATTGATAAGTATGGAATGCTATTGCTGCAGGTCAGCAGCTTTACTTGGAAAAATGATGTGTCCTGCAAGGGTTGTATTACTGGTATAGGTGCAATGCACCTGATGAGAGTATGCATACAAAAAATTAAATCAACATAACAGCAGGGGCTAAGTAACACAGACGGCTCCAAATAGATGCCACATATTAGCATCACTATTTGTTCAATTAGATTGTACAACTCACAAACAAGATAGAATGTTATCTGAAACAGAATACCCGTTAATTCACCAGTGTCTGTATTACTGTTAATATTTACCAATAACACCCAAATGAAAGACAAAGAAAATGTGACATTATACAAATACTCCCTTGGTCCAAAAGAAGAGTTGTGTTTGTCAAGATACAACATTCTAATTTTAAAAAGATAGAAGTCATGATGAAATCATACTTACACTTTAAGTTATAATTTTTTGTTTAACTAATCTTATCATGATCAATTTGTTTGTAACTTCTTTGCTTGGCAAGCAACATTATGAATCATAAGTCATAACTGTTTTGGGGACAAAAAAAAGGCCACGAGCAAGGTCTATGTGCCCCCACCCTTCCCCGGCCACACCTTTGGAACTACTGCAGATATGTTATTGACGTACTCTTTCTTAGGACAAAAGAAATCTTTGGTGAAATACAGAGTATATTTTTAGAAACTGCAATCCAGCCGCATGGCAGTCATCATACAAGTAATCGATACAACACAAGTTATCCATTAGAAATGGAAATTCAACACTCCCTAAAAATAAAAGAGAATAATTTGCGAGTAAATTCAAGGGTCACATGATCATACAAATAATAAAATCAAGCATTCGCTACAGAGATTCAGTACACCTATCTATATATATCAGATCAGTGCTAAAATAAATTAGCCAAATAGCTCAAAGAGCAACAATTAAGAAATCAGCTTGCACTCCCCTCCCAGTGAAATTCCGTACCATAAATCCAAAATAACTGGGTAAAAAATGGAAATGTTACTCTCCTTGAGCTCAAGAAACAATTTTTCTATTAAGTAATGATAAATAACATCAATTGAAGTGGTGGGGTGCTCAAATGGTTGGAGATGAATCTCTCCCCAAATATACCCAAGGTTGGGAAAAAAATATACCCAAGGTTGAAACAAAAAATAACAATAAAAAATAAAATAACACGACTAAAAGTGTCAGAATTATAGATCTCCTAACACCACTAACGATTTCGAGCTAATATTCGACGCCTCAAAATTAAACCGAATCTTCTTCTAAGACCACACGCGTCCAATAAATCAAATATCAGGTACTCAGAAAGCTAATTTCGCCAAACATTGAAAGATCAAACAATTATAGAATAAAAATCGAAATCCATACACTGTTCCGAAACCTAAAAATCATCAGAACAAGGGTATCAAGACATCAGATCGGGCACGAAAAACAGAAATTGAACAGTAGTAATAATAATTGAAGAAAAATAGCTCAAATTTCAGCTTGATATGTGTGTGTGTGTGCGCGCTGAAGGTATAGAGATTTGAGCGGGACAAACCATGGCAGCGCGCGGTGATCGGTGAAAGGACGGCGAGATACGAGCGGAGATATAGGACTAAGTTAGGGCAGATGTAGAGAGATATTCTTCTGCGCGTATATATAGAAGAGCGCGTTTGAACCGGAAAAGACTTTTTTGCTTTAAACAGATCAGCATAGCGGCAGAGAAAGAAAAAATGATACAGACTTTCAATGCCGATCTCTCATTGTACAAGTGCATATTATTATACTTTTTAGTAATGTATATGATGACGTTTAGTAATGTAAATATATTTTAACTCATATTTTAAGCATATAAATATGGAAGTCCTATTTTAATATATTTTTAATGTTTTACTCATACTTCTTACTTTAATTTTTTTCGATTATGTGGATATGCATTTATTGATTTAACCCTGAGTAGTTTGGTCGGGCCAAAACTTGGCTGCCACGTATTTCCTCCGTCCGGAAATGTTCTTCATATTTGCCCTTTCGGCGTATGATTCATCCATTACACTCACCCACGTGGTTGAAATAGGTGCCAAGAGCTAATGATTTAGGGCGGCTTAAGTGGGTGGGATAGCTGGCATCAATTTTGTTGGTCTTCTAAATGCTCATTGTTGGAATGTCAGCATTTCAAACAATGATAATTGGTTGTTTTGTCCTTAATCCAAAGAGACAACTTCAAGAATACATTGTCTCTAACGATGTACTCAATGTCATGTCGCTTGAGGTCAGCATAAGACTTTGTCGATATGGAGCAAGTTGTATTATATCCTTGATGGGCTTTGTTTCATGTAGTAGCTCAAGCCCTTTGAGTTTTTTCTCACTCAATCATGTGTAACACACAAGAGTTCTACACTTCCGTATGAACTTCTTATGGAGCTATCTTGATATTCGTCTCATAAATGTTATTATAGGCGAATTCCATCAACAAGTAATGTTCTACGTTACTATCGAAGTTAATCACAAAAGCTCTCATCATATCTTTCAAAATTAAAATATATATCGTCCACTGAAACTAACTAAATTTAAGAGTGATATTCTATATACTCTTCTAAAATTGTGAGGCACTCAAATTGTTGTGTGTATTTATTTATTCCGATTAGGCTCAAGTCACCCGTAAAATACGGTCCGTAGTTGTGCACTACAAGGGTACCAAAAGGAGCAACACCCCAACCCAACCTCGCCACACTCCACTCACAAAGAAACGGAGAAGAACTGAGATCAACTCACAAAGGAAGACAGAAACTCACACGGAAGTCTCACAAAGAGAGAAAGGAGTTTTGCACGGTGAAGAAACACAAAGGCAGCCCCTCAATATATAGTGGAGATTAGGGTGGTAATTAAGGCAAGCTTAATTAGGTTAGGAATAAAGGTGGGCTTGAGTAAATGGGCTGCTGGGTTGGGTGTCAAATATTATTAATATGTTTGGGCCAACCCAAATAAATTAATAATCTCTACCTTTGGCCCAAAGTAGTGCACATAGTTGGACAAGGAACCGCGGGACTCATCATAGCCTAATAACCACTAAATGTGTAATCAACAAATGAGAACACACGTAGTGGTGGAGAGTTCACTAAGTACTCTCAAGTCACGAAGACTAGGCAACATCACAAAGCATGCCAAAAATAACTCACGAAGAGTCGAACTCTACCATTGGGTCATCGAGTTCAAAAAACAAAAGAAAAGCAAAAGTCACAAAGACCAAAAAAAGGGAACAAAAGATCAGCACACAATCACAGAGATAGGTTTAAAATCTTTTGACATAAGGTAAATTTTTCAATCGGTAAACACTTAGTACCCATGTCAGCTGGATTAGATTCTGTAGGAATTTTCTCCAGCATGACAATTCCCTTTTCAACTATGTCTCTAATAAAATGAAACCTAACATCAATATGTTTTGTTCTATCATGAAAATCAGGATTTTTGCATAGTTGAATGGCAGATTGACTATCAGAAAAAACAACTACATTCTTATCGAGCAAGCATATTTCAGATAAAAGACCTTTAAGCCAAATGGCTTCTTTAAACGCATCTGTGGCAGCAACATACTCAGCCTCAGTAGTAGATAAAGCAACAATATGTTGAAGTTGAGATTTCCAACTAATGCAAGAACCACACAAAGTGAACACATAGGAAGTAGTAGATTTTCTATTATCCCTATCGTTTGCATGGTTAGAATCCACATAGCCAATTAATCTAACACTTTTATCACTTCTTGAAAAAGTTAAACCAACATTCCTAGTAGATTTTAAGTATCTCAAAAGCCATTTTAGAGCATTCCAATGAGCCATACCAGGATTAGACATGTATCTACTTAAACAACTAACAGCATAAGCAATATCAGGCCTAGTGCTAATCATGAGATACATCACAGAACCAATAGCATTCGAATAAGGCACACTTTTCATTTCATTAATTTCAGCTTTAGTTTTAGGGCACATATCCTTACTCAACACAAAGTGAGCAGCTAAAGGAACATCCACAGGTTTAGCATCAGACATAGCAAATTTACTCAAAATCTTATCAATGTAGGAATTTTGATTTAAAACAAGAGTAGATTT